CCTCCTCCCCGCGAAGTCTGGTAACCAAAGAGGGGCTATTGAAGAAACCGACTACAGTTGCGACGGCCTGAACGCGGGGATCTGAACCCGCAGGGAAGAGCACATTGCCACCCGAGGTACACACACCGAGCAATCCGGTGCCAGCGACATCAGAACGCTTCGCGAGATACTCCAGAGCAGCTGAAAGATCCTCAGCCTTCGACGTGGGATCTTCATACTGCCTGAAGGCACCACCACTCTGACCGAAGTTACGGTAATCGATAGCGATAGCGATAACATCATGGCGGGCTAGCTCGACCGCGTATGTTCCGGACATCATCTCCTTGACGCTTATGAATGAGCCTGCCACCGCAACTGCGGGGTAGCGCTGCGCAGGGTCATATCTCTCGGGAAGGTAGAGATGTCCGACAACGTGGCTATCACCACTGGGGAACCTGACTGTCTTTGGGGTAGGTCCAGATGTGGCGTTCAACGTGCCGAAATATTGCGCACCGGAGCTGGACAGCAAGCTTGCTATAACACTGGTAGCTGTGATCGTTCGACTACCGAACATCATATTGCTTGGATTAAGAGACAAGGAGTAGATTGAGAAAGAGAAAAAGATGGCCCCGGCGATACGATAGTAAGGATTCTGGGATACCTCACGATCTATTTATTGCGAACTGGAGCACTGCACTCGCCTTGAGTTGTCGCTCAATTTTCCTCGGAGTCCTTCTTCCAAGAAACACTGACGTTCTGTAGCAATAGTGCTAAGCATACTCAACAGGATCGGCAGGGTTCAACGCCATCTGTAGTAGTGTTCGGATCATTGCGGAAGTCCTTGACCCTTGGCGTCCGTGCCCCGATCCTTTTAAGGCGTGTGATCGTCGACAACGACTTGGCGCTCTATGTTGAAGCAAAGCCGAGGTCTTTTAGATCTAGTCGAAACGCGGAACATCTCGTCCGTTATCCGTGGCACTCGACAAAGAATCGCTAGATGTCTTGGTCTGTGGTTTTAGATAAGTGCGAAAGCCTGCAGACCGATAACGTTCGCACCCAGAAGAGTGGGAGGGTCTAGGCTGGCCCACAACCCGAAATATGACGCCCCCGGTTAGTAGTCATGCACGAAAAGTATAGAATCCACGTAGCGTGTAGTAGTGTCTCAGCCGTGACGTATGGTAGCCCATCGTACCGGGGCTACCAGCACTAACTGTGAAAAAGAACATTGCTGATTGTTTTAGTAGACCTCGGCTATGCTATGTCGCACGCTTTTAGTCCGAAGTTGTGGGGACGGAGCCATTCGAATCTGCCTTGCGGGCTTAACTACGTTAACGATCCTAATTCCGTCCTGCTTAACACCGTCGGAACAATCCGAACTTGCCCTGCGGACTTAACTATCTCAACGATCCTGATCCCGTTCTGGTCAAACATTGCGCCTGCATCACAACACATGGGCGTGCTGAAGGCCACGGCACTATTACTTCCCTTTGCTTTACCCCATTCAGTATCTCGATTCGCTACAATTATGAATAATACACGCAGCGCCTTCGCTCCAAAAACAGTCAGCTTCGCATGTAGGGGCGATCATATCACTG